TTTGTATTAGATAGGAGAACTTGCCGGTCACACATAAAATATTTGCAGACCAAATGGATGTCACAAATTTCTTAGTTTGCAGGATTGAGTTTATCGCCGAGGTATACACTTATCTTTCGGGATGGTGTAGTATTCGCGGTATCAGACACGATTATATAAACTATTGGACGAATGAGATCCATTTGATCTTATTTTTTAAAAAATTAAAACATTCTACTTTCAAAACTCAAACTATATACCTTTTATATTAAATTAAATTTCAAAATAAATTAAATTTCATTAAATTTCAAAAATTATTTTCATATTTTCAAATTTTCGAAAAAATGACCGACAACACTGATGTTGAGGTTTGTGTCAAGGATATTCAGAACCTAATGTGCAGGTTAGAAAAAAATTGATAAGAGAAACACCAATATCAAAAATAGGCTAATAGGTCCAAGAAAGTTTGCATTGCCAACATGTGCGGGTTTTCAAAGAAGGCGATATAGTTTGGATCAGGCTAAAGGAGTGATTTCTTGCAGTATTTGAAAAACTTAAGCTTAGAATTGATGACCCACTCAGGATTTACTAAGAAAATCAATGATGATGCCTACAAGATTAACATACGGAGAAACCAATTTGTCATGGTATTATGAGGACCTTGGTGTTTTCAGAAATGATGGTGAAACCTCTCCTTACCCAAAAAGAGTGACACGGGATGTGGGATTACTGTAATTCTGCGATTCAATAGTTTTTTGCATGCCACTGTTCTCGCGACTGCAAGAGTAACTGCCCCAATAAATCTTTCTTGATTTATTTTTTATATGCAGCAAGTTACCTTCTATTTTTCTTTCTTTGTAGTTCTTTCCCATTTCTCTATTTTCTAATTAGGTTATTTTGTATTTGGGGACCTTTATATATGTTGTGTTCTTGTTTGGATGTTTAGCTTGATATTATGTATTTTGGAGGTTTTTCTCAGATTTTCTCTCCTTGGAGCATTGTAGCTTCCTTTTGCGTGTGGTGTTCGTGGCTTGCCTAGGAACAGGTGATGGATCCCTTTCATCGTTTTGCCGCTTGCCCGCTCAAAATCACTGCCACTTGCTGTCTACAGCTGGAAACTGCCATTTTTTCTGCCTCTGTTTCCAGCCACTGTTCAGCCAAGTTTTAGTCTCCATTCATCCTCCTACTTCTGTTAACCATCTTACAACTTTGCTAACGTCTTTTTGTGCTCTCTCACACCTTTTAGGATTCCTAAAACGGTATTAGGTAGAAGGCGGAATTTGAAAGCATTCATTTTTATTGTCTTGTATAATTTTTTTTCATAACATTTAATGATGCTTCAGGGCACGAATTGAGTTGTGAAAGTCCACTAGCAATTGTTGCAATGAGAATATTCATCTAATAAAAATATTTCTTTCACTACAATTGTGGTTGTTTCTACTTTGATATTGTTTGTACGTAAAACGTTAACTTTAGATTCTACTTTGAAATAAATGTGTTCCAAGATTCCTTGCCCAATGGTAGAATGACCCAACAGCTACTCACCGTATTAGTGATCTTGACCCACTTGGGGTTTTTGTGACTAATGATCTACCTACTACTGGGGATATTGTTAATCCATATTCTATATATCGACTTAGAGGTTAGCATTTCTAGCATTGAAGAGGTAGTTTGTAAAGTATTTCAATTTATATTATGCCTAAGAAGGGAAAAAACTTCAGGATATATTGTTACTATCCAATGTATTGCAATCCCTGGACATTTTTAATGAGAACCGTTGCGGTTCCTCTCAGGTGGTGTTGGATTATTTGCCATCTTTTGGTCTTGTCAATGTATTTTATTTTTAGTTTTCTTTCCATCTAGCAATGCCATGCAGTTTTCTTTGTGTTATGCTATTTTCATTGACCGGTAATAAAGTTTATTTTGCTTAAAAAAAACTTGGTGCATCTGAATACTGTCAAAATTTTGAGAAAAATAGGCTGAATGCTGAATAGGCTTGATCCCTTTTCCCTTTTCTTTCATTCCATTAAATAATAATCTTACAATCTATTGAAGGTACAAAATAATATGTATAATCTATTTTAGGTAACTTAATAATACATACTCCTAATTTAAATATTCAGCTAAAAGAGAAATAAATCGAAATAATGATATTGGAAATAATTTAAATAGGGAAGCTCCTAATTATAAAAAACTCCTAATTTAGCTGTCTGATTTCCGTTCTTTCTGATTGACATCCCCCCTTAAATTGATGCTGGCTGATCAGGAAGCATCATTTTGCCAATTAGAAAGTGATAACACTGTCAAGACAAAAAATCTTCAAGCCGTGAGTGCCAAAGCCAAAGGTGCCAAAGCGGAGAATGCTGAAGCCTGAGAGTGCCGAAACCGTGAGTGTCGAAGCCGTGAGTGTCGAAGCCGTGAGTGTCGAAGCCGTGAGTGCCAAAGCCTAAGATCTATGGTTTGCCAAAGTCGAAGCGAACGAAGCAAAGCGTAAGAATCAGTCGAAGATGCCATAGAAACAGCGATGTCTAGCGAAGAAGATCCGAATCAGACGAATAATAATACAAACATAACATCATTTTTCAACCCAAGAATCCTTGTATTTCACAAAGAATGAATTTTGCACTTCATAATAAGTTCCATCTCTTGGCGAGCAAACCTGCGACATTTATCTGTTTGTCGATCAAGTTTGATATTCTTCAAGACATACTTCCTCTTTTCCACCTTGTTCTTCACGAGAAGAGCAGAGAACAACAATAAGAAGAAACAGACCAGCGCCGCAACTCGAGCTGGCAAAAAGCTTAAATGGAAAACATGATTGGAGATCCCCTGATGGCGTTGCTGAGCTCCTTACAATTCCATATCTGAGTCTGCCTCTTGTGAATATCAGCAGCTGCTCAAACATATTTGTTATCTTCCTCAATGATTTTGGCTAGGAGAGGACTAGAGCTTTAAGGCCGACGCGAGGGACAAGAACCGTAGCTAGGGCAGAGACAACGGTTGATGAGGAGTCGCAGCTTGGGCAGAGATGCAGAGAGGAGAGGAGATCGCAGCTATGTCCCTTGACGAGGAGATCGTAGGTTGACGAGGAGAGTCGCAGCTAGGGCAGAGATGGCGCGACGAAGTGCCGAAGTGGCGCGGCTAGGACAAAGACGAAGTGAAGTTTTGCTCGAACGAAGCAAAAGCATACGCAAACGCGAAGTTGCGCAAGCGAACGAAGCAGATGCAAACGAAGATACCGAAGGTGTTGCGAACCAAGATGTCGCGACGAGAAGATCGCGGCTATGGCTACTGCTGAAGAATACCAAGGATTCACACCGATTCTAGCTCTGCTATCATGTCAAAGTGTTGAGAAAAATAGACTGAATACTGAATAGGCTTGATCCCTTTTCCTTTTGCTTTCATTCCATTAGATAAAAATCTTACAATCTATTTTAGCTACAAAATATTCTGTATAATTTATTTTAAGTAACTTAATAATACATATTCTCAATCTAAATATTCGGCTAAAAGGGAAATAAATCAGAATAAAGATTTTGGAAATAATTCAAATAAGGAAGCTCCTAATTATAGAAAACTCCTAATTTAGTTGTCTGATTTCCGTCCTTTCTTATTGAGATTTCTAGCATTGAAGAGGTAGTTTGTAAAATATTTCAATTTTTATTATGCCTAAAAAGGGAAAAAACTTCAGAATATATTGTTACTATCCAATGTATAGCAAACCCTGGACATTTTTAATGAGGCCCCTTGCGGTTCCTCTCAGGTGGTGTTGGATTATTTGCCACCTGTTGGCCTTGTCAATGTATTTTGTTTTTAGTTTTCTTTCCATCTAGCAATGCCATGCAGCTTTCTTTGTGTTATGCTATTTTCATTGACCGGTAATAAAGTTTGTTTTGCTTAAAAAAAATCTTGGTGCATCTGAATACCTCCGTTAATTGCTGGTAACTTTGCTTCGAAACGGCTTGCATTGAGACTAGGCTCAAGTTGGGGTTTAAAGCTCTGGAAATGAAGGTTCCAAGCGTGTAACCTTATAAAATGCTAATTCTGCAAATTTTTGGAGTCTGTACCGTTTAGCTTACCGGTGACAACTGTGTTGATGGAATTAAAATGGTAAATATTATTTTTGAGCGTATGGTGAGAATGTATTTTATTTGCTAATACCTGAAGAAGAGAAATAAAATGGTACTTTATGCTGAATTTCTTTTTATCTTCTTGGCTATCATGATGGTTTTAAATAGGATACAAAGAACTATGAATCGGTGTTTAACAGTTCTTTAAAAAAAAAAAAAACCTTTATGCACTGGAGTACCTTCTTCAATAACTAGTCACTTCAAAGGGCTTGCATAGAGACTAGACTCAAGTTAGGGTTAAAATTGCTGAAATGAAGATTTCAATATTGTATCCTCATAAAATGCCGATTCCACAACTTTTTGGAGTCTGCACTATTTAGCTTACCAGTGACAAATTTATCTTTATGTTGTTAAAATGTTAAATATTGTTGTTATTGAACCAATGGCGAGAATGAGAGTTCTTTTCTAATAGCTGAGGAAGAGAAATGTAATACTACTTTATGCCGAATTTCCTTTCTCTCTCCTTCCCTGATAAAAATTTTTGAAATAGGATGCATTCAATAACGAGGCATCATTATTTTGCAGTTAACTTGCCCAGATCTCTAAATTAAATGTGTGATACTTAAAATGCTGAAGGACTCATATAAATTTAGATTGTGGGAAGATATTGGATGAGGTGTTGATGCAAAAGATGTTAGGTGAATGGATCGAAATACTGATGGCTTGAGCCATCAAATAAAAACAACACGCTACTTTGCAATAACTCTCTTTTTCTGTTTGATCTGGATTTGATTCATTAAATACAGCATACTTAATTCTAGACGTTTAGTTTAGTATTTTTTTAATTTTTTTAATTTTTCTTTTTTTGCCATGAAACCGAATTCCCTATACACTGTATATATTATGCTTGCTTGTTCTTATACTGAACAATTTGCGTGTGGCCTTGTTCAGCAATGATATTAAAGCAAGTTCAAGTTCCAAGGGTATATTTCTGAAGGAGAGATTTCGACCAATGCCACTGTGCTTGCCTGTTTTATTTCCCACGGCCCATGCCTTGGTAAGCATAATGCAAAAGACATCAATTTTTATAACTTCTTTTGTTAATGAGCGTCTTCTAATCTGTATTGTGTCAGAGTTTGCTTCAGCTAGGCATCTGAGCACATGAAATGCCAATTTGTGTGACTAAATTATATATATGTTTGGTGGATGATGAGTTCTTTATTAATTGCAAGTATGTGAACTTACGTTATTTTCATGCGCATACAAATACTGGATAGTTCAAGTACATGCAATAACTACAATTACAAAATATTGCAGCATCCCTTGAAACGAAGTTTTACACTGTTGGCCATAATGCACATGCAATAACTACACAGCTTTATGATATAGTTTTACATATTTATGAGATTTTCTAGCTACATAATGATTTTATTTTAGACCTATTAAATAGATTATTCTATATAAGTATTTTTTTTCGCATTAGTTCTTTTTTAATTTGTCTTGTGATTTGAAAATTTTATTTGTACTAAATTATGTAAAAGTAAATTGCATTGTCTTACAAGGATCTAAGCAATTTTCAATAATTTCAATAGTTTAGATGTTGTTCGTAAAATTTTCATATTGCATATTTTTTGAAGATCTGAAAAAGTTCTTTAGATAGATGAACTGTGTTTGATGAAAAATGGCTACAAATCTGATGAGTATTAAGTCATTTGGCAAATTAATTTTTATATGAATAAGAAGTCACTTCCGAATAAAAATGATGTATACATGAACTTAACAGTGGTAAAATAAGAAATTATCTAGGATTTTAAATAGAAAATTAGCTGGAAGATAGATGAGTCAATTGTTTGTGTTTTGATAGAAAATGTAGATATATATTGAGATTATAAATTAAAATGAGGGAATTTGATTCTTCTATATCAATACATTAAGATTCTATCCTCTTTTAATATTAGTATAGATAATGTAGTTAATATAGAGCTTAAAGAATCACTAATAACATGTGACAGGCTCTACGAATGATTATTCAATCAGGCGTAAAATCCTCTTGGTTCAGTTTGTTCAGTGCACATATGGATACCTCACTTGGAAATATTCCTGAGATTGAAACAACTTCCGGAGATCTTCGTGGTTATATTATTGAGTCAAAGCTGCCTTCTGTTGGTGATTCAGTGGTCCCTGAATTGCTTTTGAAGGTCTTAGAACCATATCGAAGAGATGGTATGTTATAGCTACTTTAAACACCGTCCTAACAGTCTCATAAAAGTGTAATAGCTATTGATGGCCGCTTATTATTTTTCTGAAGGCTGCATACTTGATGATGAAAGAGTTCGTTTATATGCTTCTCTTGCAAATAAAGGTTTTGCTGCAAGATCTGCCTTCGCCGCGGCAATCTTTGGAGAATTTTCTGAGGCTCTATTCTGGTTACGGCTGCCTCATGCTCTTTCTCATGTTGTAGATAAATCAGCAAAGAAATGCTCCCAGGAGGCTTCTCAATCACTATCAGAGACTGAAAGTATAGCAATGTTAAATAGGATAACATCAAGGGAAAAATATGTTCCAGGCAGTAGGAGAAAAGAAACCACGGTTAGATTAATCTTTCAGAAGATTGTGGCATATTCAAATATTTGTTGATTTTTGTGGAAATTTAGCTGCATTCAATAACTCCAATTTTTGTGTTATTCTGGATTGCTTCGTTTAAATTATAGATACAAGCTAATTGTCAAAAGAAATCGCTGTTTTGAAGTTTTGGGTCTTTATTTGGCTTGCTCACTCCTCGTGCGTGCAGAAAATTGGGCAACTAAATTTGATGGCCTTTAAGCAACAGGAATTGCGGGCTAATGCAAATGAGAGGATTCTATGGCATGAGAAGTTAGATGGAGAAGAAGCAATTCAGAAGCACGTGCATGAGTGAGTTGTTCTTTGGACCCTTTCTTATAGTTTTACTAGTTATATTGTTTTATGGTGACGTTGTCAGCCGTTTATTTTTGAAATTCATTCAAGTTTAATTTTAATTCAATATATAGATATATATATATATATATATATAATATTTTAATTTTGAAAAGTGAGACCGAATGGATCTCACATGTTTGATAGTTTAGACGGCTGAGCGCGATATCATAAGTAGTGCACTATCCTGAAAGATATGCATATAACTTGTTGGTAGGCTTAGCCATTTGAACTAAAAGATTTATGACATCCGTTTGGTCTACGAAACTTTTTTTTATAAGCAGACAAGTTCTCTGATTTAATACGAGAGATTAAATAAGGTTTATATTAAGCTGAGTTCTTAAGCTCCCTATAGAGGCAGACCCCTATAGTTAATTACATCTTAGACAATTGAAATCACCTAAGAAGACTCTCGATTAAGACCAGTGGTTTTGCCTTCAAGATTGCAAAGTTTATGTTTCCAAGGTTAAATGTGAGGAAATCAAAGGGGAAGGGCTCAAAATAAGAATAGTTATTTTCGAGAGTCAGTGGAGTGAAATGTAGGGGATGTCACAGATCCGAGGGGAACCCCGATGACTTCCCAACTATCTTATGATTGGACCTTAACTCTAAAAAGACCTCCTACACCTCATTGTCGTGGTCTCAATCGTCGCCCTCCGTCTGCTTGCTTCCACGTTTCGCTTCTTGGAAAAAACTACTCTAAGCTCCTTAATATGTCGATTGTAGGTTCGGGGTTGCGGTTTGTATAAATATAGTGGCTCTCTATAAGTTACCTCCTAAACTGGGTGTTCTAATGTCCTCTATCTTAAAAGGTCCCTGCAAGTCTATAGAAACAACATGATTAATAAAAGGAAACATGCTACGCAGCGCACTAAACAGTAAACATTAATGTCACAAGCATGAATTGTATATATATGCAGTAAAGTGCGCAGTAAAAAAAGTGAAACACTGTAAATATAAAACAAACTTGTATACCTGACGAGCCTGTTGCTTATGTAAATGAGATTGGTGTCGCACGTGCAAGTAAATGAGTATAATAAAAAGAATTTAAGAAATGTGTAAGCATGAATTTATATAAACAAGAATGAATAGCGAACATCACCTGAAAAACTCGAGAAAAGCGACAAATGACCCACGTTAACTTGAAGAAAACCAGCGAAAACACGAGAAAATCCAAAGGAAAACACGAATGATCTACAAAGATTCCGATAAAACTTTAGGAAACACACGAAAAATCCGAGGATAGAAAGAAAACTGTAAGCATTCGGGTCGGGCTAGACTTAGATTTAGGTATTCTCGAGGGACTTCGAAGACAACTATCGGTCACCCGTATGTATAGAGCCCGACATTCAACTAGAAGGGTTTACTACAATACCAACTTAGGAGGGTACTCCTTAGCTCAATACCAGCAAATGACTAGTGGACAATGAAATTATATTATTTAAAATTTATATTTTGGCATGCATATAGGTTTCATGCATATAAAAAAAGTAGTATCAATTTTTGTAGTCAAAATATTTTTGTAAGTAGCGTATTTTTTCTTATCGTATCTATTCTTATCATTTTTTTTATAAAATATGATTGTCCACAAGTCGATCGCACCGTCGGACTAGGACCACCAACAACCTAATAAGGCAAGGGTGTCTGCTAGTCTGGTGTCTGTGAATAATATTGTCATCCTACATTTCACCGAGTCCCTGGATTGAGTCCCGATGTCGTATGATGAAATATTATTCCGCTCTACCACCGAATGTCTTTATCATCAAGGCCTAAAACCTCAAAAAAACCATCCAACCTACGACCTTACTTGATGGTTTTATATATAGCCGCAGCTATACATGCAGGATTACGTTTTAGATATAAGCGTCTAAAACTCAAACAAAGAAACAAAGAAAGTGAACCGAAAAACAATAAATGAAAAAAAAAGGAAGTCTAACCCGCCTCTAAAACCATCTTAGAAAGAAAAACCAAAGCGGTAGGAGGGTTAGCCTCAAACATCCACCCGATGAGACTTCTCGAATGAGCAATGAGATGGGCACACTTCCCGATTTTAGCCTGAATCACCCCTTAAAGGCACATTTTAGAAAACTCCAAGATGCTCCTGAACCTCTCCTAAACATATGGATTAAAATATTTCAATTCACCAATTCCACCTCAAACTAAAAGCTTCCATAAGAGTCATAAACCCACCACAACATAAAGGAATCCAAACAAGCATTCTCGGGTAGGGCCAGCGAGGAAGCCACCCAGCCAACAAAAAAAAAAAAAAGAATCCATCCAGATGCTCTCGGGTAGGGGCGGCTAGGACAAGCAACTACAACGAGTGCCTACAGCTAAGGGCAGCAGGGGACAACCGAGCAAGACAAAAGAAACCCAACAGTGATGCCCTCGGGTAGGGCAACAACCCTCACGACCAACTAACAAGTGTTCACAGCCAGGGACAGAAGAGAACAACCAACCAACACAAAAGAAAACGAGCTGGGATGTTCGCGGGCAGGGGAGCAAACCAACACAATCACAACAAATGCTCACAACCATGGATAACAGCGAACAACCAAACAACAAAAAAAAATGATAGGGATGTTCTCGGGAAAGGGCAACAGCAACACCAACAGGGAGCCCATATTGCAAGCTCCAGGTGGGAGCGGCAAAACACCAACAAAACAAACACGAGAAGAGGCACAATAAAATCCCTCAATCAATCTAACAAGGGAAAAGGGGGGCAACATGACAACAACCCGAACTCACGAGGAAAGCCCAACAAGGTTCTCTAGTGGAACTAGTAACCGAGAAGAAATACGCCAAAACACCAACAATTCCACCACAGGTATAAACATCCTCATATGATTTAAATAGAAGGGGCAATAGAGAGGCAGCGAACAGAGCCCCAAAGCCAAACCTACAAAAGCCTCAAAATTAAATGAAAGCCGCCTGAATGTGCTTCGAACAGAGGGGGGGCAATAGAGAAGCACAAAACAAAGCCCCCAAAGTAAAATTTCCAAAAGCCTCAATGTTAAACCAACACAACAAGGAAAACTGCAGCCCAAAACGCTAAAACAGCCCTCAAACTTCGATGCACAGGTATAGATGTGATAGGAACACAAGAAGAAAACTTACACATGCGTAAGAACTGAACCATGCTTTTATGATAAGTGTACATTCCTAGTTAAAGATCATAGAGAATTTAAAACAGGCCCAGTTATATGCAACATTTAAACTAAAGCCAAAGAAACATTAAAAACTTAACAACTGAAAAGCAACCTCAACATGATGTACCAGCGGAACAATTAAACTCTCGCATGCATGTATTTCCTGTCGAGCAAAGAAGAAAACAACACATAGCCTTTGTCGAGCAGAGGAGAGAACGGAGGAGAAGAGAAAGTACCTTGCCTGAGCCTTTGCAAACAACAGAAGAAAAATGTCGAGACTTCGCAAACACCAGACTCACAGGCACCAAAAACGAATTTGGCAGAGTCTCCCCCAGATTCCCAGTTTGTAACCTCACAGTAACATCCCCCCCCCCCCCCAATGACTTTTATAGACGCAGAAGAGAGGGGAGAAGAGCAGAGAAGACCCAGGGTGAGGCCAACCCCAGAGCTCGACCCCGCCGAAAGAAAAAAAAAACATCGCAGCCAGAGCCGCAGAAGGAGAAGCCATTGGAAAGGAGGGGAATTGCCGCATTTGTGACCCAAGGAAGATATGTGCCAGGGTCAACCTACCCAAAAGGGCTTCCCGCCCAGCAAGGCGAAGCAGAAAATGCTTCGGGAAGAAACGACTCGAGCAGAGAGTGTCGAGAGGGAAAGAGAGTCTGCTCCTCGTCACGCGAAGGGGAAATAAGCCTAAAGGAACGCGCGGCTAGGGCTCAACCCAGGTCCAGGCAGGAAAAAGGGGATGGAGTTGAAGGCAGACGAGGCAGATTAGGGATTTAGGGTAGATAAAACCCTCAGCAAACCTATCTCACTTTATATATTTATATTAATATATATATTAATAATATAATATAGTATATTCAAATTTCCCCGATTCGCGCACAATTCGACCCCACCCCGAACATATCAAAATAGGTGTCTCCCCTAGCTAAATTCGACATTTCGGATGCGCCAAAGCGATCCGTTTTGTCATCTGGGGTCGCTCGGACGACTTCGTCGACAGTCGGGTCGAAAATGCGTCAAATTCAAATTTCTTTAAAATTATCGCTCGTGATCGATCGTTCCAGCAATTGATTCGAGTTTGATCAATCGCAAAGCCTTCTACGAGTGCAAATGATGTGAATTTCGAAATAATATCGAACGTGTGAATTCGTGCATCGTGAGAGTGCGAACGACACGATGGGTTTCCTAAGGCTTTAGATCCTACGGGTACTCGACTCGAGCATCATCGTGCTGGTTTTAATCAACTCAACTAAGCGCTAAGGATTTAGAACTGGTCACATGAAATTGCGAGGTGTCAAGAAGTGGCTCGAATTTCTAGTTGGTGCGGGTCCCAGACTAGTCCTCTAAGAGAGTCGGTAGGAAACCCTAAAACTAGATCTTAGGCTCTAAGAAGATTAAGAGACCTCACAAAAAATGAGGTCAATAAATGAACCCCCAATAGGTGCGATGGGATGCGTTAACACGCCGCACCTATTGGCGTTGACCAAAGTGATCAAAAGAATGTGAAAATATCAATATCAAGAGTTGAATTTGAGTTGAGTGAAGTTGGATTTTTGCTGCGTATTAGCAAGTGTATTTTTCAAATTATGATTGTGAGTTTGAGCTTTCAAATTTATATGTCGATTTGATTTGTTTGTTGATTTGATTTGATAGAAACTGTTGCGATAGGAAGGGATCTTAAAGCAGCGTGGAATTGAATGTCATGATCCTTATCCTCTAAAGTCTAATATGTACCATTGCGATAGAGGAATGTCTAAAGCAATGTTGAATCTGATGTCCTAATCCTCATCCTCAAAAATCTGATAT